TTCTATAAAGATATGGAAATATGGTGTGAGATGAAAAATGACGTCAGGATCACAGTAAAAGACCAAACCAGGATTTAGGGGCTCATCTGTCTACCAGAGCAGCGTATGGAATGGTTGAGCCACAGGGAACATTCAAGGACAATTGCCTCTTTAATAGGCACGAGCTCACCAGCAGCGGAGCCAAGATTTAAATATGATTACCTTACAACCTCCAATGGTAGGACCCAAGTCAGATGCAGGCCCAAACCACACAGGCCTGAGGGTACCCTTAGGGAAGATGGCGTGGGGCGGCTTTGGAGATCAGACAGCCTCCAGCAGTGGGAGATGTGTGCCTCGGGCTTGGGGAGCCAGGGTCAAAGATCGGCCTGTGGCGGCAGCCAAGAGCTCAGGCGCTCTAAATTCGAGAGAATAACTGAGGAGGGTTAGAGGCACAGTGGATGGGGTCAGATTGTTAACGGCATTGTTTTGGAGTCTGGATGGTAATCCAGGTCTCTGTGAGAGGAAAGCCTATACTACATTGGAATTAGGGGCCTAGCTTCTGAGCGTAAAGTTTTATCTCCCTTTTTTTCAGAGCTCCTTCCCCCAAGTTCCAAAAGGTCCATCAAAATCACGAGACAGTTACCAACACTGATGCCATTCCTGGCTTCCTGCTCACAGGTACCTGCTACAAATAGTTCTTTCAACCAGCACTTTCAGTTGAAAGATCTTGAATTCTAGTTTATCATAGTCTTAAGTAACTTTTTTTCTGATAATTTTGTAGTGGTTCATCTTAAAACATTTTTCCGAAGAGGTACTCAAATATGTATTCTACCTATTGCAATCATGCTAGTTCTGTTAAGACCTACCTTTTACTGTTGGAAGAATTCATTCTTTACTTTGTCTTACTCTAGGGAAAAAACGGTCTGGCCACCTAAGGCAGACTATCTTGCATACATACTTTTGAGGAAAGACCTCCACTACCTCACAAACTTCATAGTTGGAATGCCACTTGGTATATCAAGATCCAGTGAACTCAGATGCTGCAGCTCCACTGTGGTTTACCTCACTTGTACCATTAAGGCCAGTGGTTTTTTGTAAATCACTTGTACATATAGGAATAGTTGTATACAAGTTAAACCAGGGTACTAGATGGCTTAGCATTTTTTTTAATCTTTGAAGTGTGTTATTATAAAGCCAATGATGAATGTAACTGCAAGTTTCAGTCTGTAAACTTAATCTCTATAGTTGCAAAGAAAAAATATATGTACTTAGGCCCCTCTTCATTTATAAGTGTCAAAAGTTATTTTTGGATTTTGCTTAAAATCTATTTTCATATGAAAATAAAAGGTAAAATAAATTCAGGGCTGTCTGACTTTACATTTCACAGATCTACAGTAAAGCCATCATATTATTACCTTAACTCTAAGAAATGACAATCTTTCAAATGGTTTTCCATCTATTGGCTGGAGGTTGAAGTATGTTATACCTACCAAAGAATAAATTTCATCTTTGGAAATACTATGAAAGTTACATTTCAGGTGCTCTTCTTCAACCGAAACTATTCTTTGATGGGAAAGTAGAATTTTGTACTTGAGAGAATCTGACCCAATGAGAAGTTCAAATTGTGTTCAGACTTTTAAAATTCTGCATTACTGTAATTAATGGCTTAACTCTATGATCTGTAAACATACTATTTCTCTAAAAAGAGTAGCAACTACTGTTAAAATTAAAATAGAATTATTCCCATGGGATAGGTGAAATATGACATTACATAGAATAGCTAGGTTTTAAACCACTCCCAAGGACTCTTTTCTAGGCCCCTAGGCAGCTTCTGACCTGTAACACACAGTATGCCATGTTAACCCTTACTATTTACTGAGGTTCGTATTGTTAATAAAGTTGTTTGGCTACCACTAAGCTGTTAAGATATGGGATATATTTACAAGACAATGAAAGTAACAAAATTTACTAATACGGGCATGGCTGGTGTGGCTCAGTGCGTTGAGTGCTGGCCTGCAAACCAAAGGGTAGCCAGTTTGATTCCCACTCAGGGCAGGTGCCTGGGTTGCGGACCAGGTCGCCAATAGGGGGCATGCAAGAGGCAACAACACGTTGATGTCTCTCCCTTGCCCTAAAAATAAATTTTAAAAAAACTTTAAAAAAAATTACTAGTACATAAATTCTAGAAGGCATCTAATTCCAAAACAAAAATTTCGTAGTACCTTTTGTACTTACGTTATTCTGCTTTTCACAAATCTTAGGAAAATTTTTGAAATCCTGGTCTATTCAGTTAATGAAATCCTTCAGGGACACATTTTCTTGTTCTATCCATGTGCTGAATGTTGAGGGTAAAATATCTTTCTCAACTGCCAAATGAACCCTCTGTATTCCCAAATAAATAAGAACAGAAGGTAATCATTAGGTGTTCTGTTTAAAGGTAGTGAATTAAACCACACACAAAAAAATCAATACTTAAAACAACAGATAGGGGAATGGGGAAAGGTTCTCAAAACTTTTAGGAGTCTTCTGGAATTAAAGGAGGTAAGATAATTAGTGTATGAAGCCAAATACCTGGTTCCAAAAAGTTTTTTTCCAAAGAAACTTTACTACCTCTAGTATTATGTGAACATGATCAAACAAACAAAAAAAAAAAATTTCAAAAGTTACTGCATCTCTTTATTATCCATGGAAAATACTTGAACATTGTGGAATGTCTAATGCATAAAAAGTACCTAGCACCTATTAAGTCAGGAGGGCCTCTCCTCACAGGTGCAAAGGCAATGAGTAACCCAGAGAAGCATGTGACCACACAAGTAGGACGCTCTCATGGATTAAAAATTAAAAGAATTTCACATTTTCTCCAAAGTGCACTTGCCCAGTGTCTGGCATATGAATGCTACAATAACAATTTGCTCCTGTTTTTGAGCACCCAAGTTTATTACAGGGCATTACACATGTGAACAACAGAATCTGGCCACAAGTACAGTCAAGGGAGAATACCATCAGGCACCCAATGTGCTTATCTCACACTGAAAAAGGTTGGCTGAAAACACTGCAAGTGTGATCCGAACACAAAGATAAAACCTCAATTACTGAGAGATGTGGATTTATATGGTATGTATGTAGACTTCTCTATCAACAAATACAGTTCTGCAATAAAAACTGACACTTTATGCTTTTATCTGAATATAAAATCCTATTATAGTTCAGAAAATAATACAAACAATTTTAATTTAATCTAGATACAGGTACTTTATTTACAAATATTTAGATTAATAGCATTTTGTTACATCAAATGAAGAGTACAGCAGTCTGAATAAATCCTGTCACAAAAACAATAAGACCGACTGTAACTTACTTTGGAAATCAGGGTATTGCACCTAAACAAGCCGCAGTCTTTAGTTTGTAATTGCTACCTTATATCCCAATGGGTGGGTGGTTTGTTTTGTCTTTGTAAATATATACACACACCAGCAGGTCATGGTCCCTGGGTGAGTCCCTTGTGATGCAACAGTGTGAGCAAAACAGATCACTGTAAGTCTTTAACAGAATATACCAATCTATTCCAGGAATCTTTATATAAAAGCTCAAGACAAAAATAAAAATGAGTCCACAAATTAACCAAATCCTATTTTCTGCACATTCCAGTTTTGGCTTTTATTTAACATTGACTATACAATACTCTGGTACTACCACATGTTTATAACCCAGGAAAGTGTACTTTTCTTTTTAACTTTAGTGTCTGTAAAGAGGGATTTAAAATGTGTATTTTAAACACAGCAGTTGAGCTGAGTGCACTTTATATAATATATGGAGGTTTACCTGTCTTACACTTCAATAACTTCTGAATTCCCAGCCAAAACCATAAACTCAGAAATCAATCAACAGAAGCAGAAGTAAAGAACTTGGTAAAATGTAAATCTGTTGTCTAGAGAGATGACTGTTTCCCTTGCAATACTGTATTCTTTCAGTGGCCAAACCATCTCCTGCAAAGTAATAACTTAATTTGTATCAGCACAAACACTAAAACACTGTTAGATACACTTTCCCTTTTACAAAACAATTTATGCCAACATGACAAAAAATAGTGCCTCACACTAAGAACACAAGGGATATCTTAAATTATTTCACTGTAGTGTTAAAAATGCACAATTTAAAATCCCTTAACAGCAGACCTGTAGTTCTGGCCATCCAGTTCAGAATCTCACCATTCCAAGAAGAAAAGGTATAAAAGCTTAAAATGTGCAATAATAAACCCAGCCTTTTTTCTTTTTCTATACAGTAAGGCAAGAAATGCAGCCTGTAATGCAAAATGTTTACAAAAAGAGAAAAGCAGGTTAGCACATTGTCGATTGCACAAGAACAGTTAAGAAAATCAGCAGGTAAGCCACAGTGCAAAGATGGAACAGAATCTGCTAGTGTTAATCCTCTCACGCTAGGCGCTCTTTCCAGCATAATGTCCCCCAACGCTGCCAGCACCAGAGGGTAGAGCCAGTATTACTTGTGAACTGCAGCTGTGTCTATTTCCTTGTGTGAAATGGAAGGGAGTAACATGGTCAAATATAGGTCATACTGTACAAACTGGTATTTTATACTGTTCCAATGCCAGTAATCAATTTATTTTCTTCATTAAAATAATATACACAGAATGTATTGTTAGTTCAGTTCCTTCAAATTTTATACATATTTACTTTCTGCTAAAGAGAAAAGGATAAAATGATGTAAAAAAAAAAAGATAAAGCTATTAATTAAGCACAAGAGAAAAGATAAATGGGTATTTTCCCTGTGCAAGGCTAAGACAGAAGCAAACCTTCTCAAGAAAAATGCCACCCACACAACAGGAAATTGATCCATAAAAAACAAAACAAAAGCAGTTACAGAACCCCTTCTCTATCATCAGAAGCCATTTCACAGCAATAAAACTTGGTTACAACAGTCATACTTGAACAGTTAAAGATGGGGAAAAAGGCTTAAGATATCAAATTAAACCGTACAGTGAGACAAAAGCCTTGCCAAAAAGAGGGAAGGGTAAAAATCATGAAGTCCTGCATCAGTGCTCAGTTTAAATCACGTATTGGTGACATAACCTATCACGAGGACAATCAAGGGGGGGAAAAAAAAAGTCTAGATTTACCATGCAGGAGAGATTACTCTACTTGCCTTTGATAACCTGATTACATCTAGTTGTTTAGCCGTTTAGTATTGTGTTAAACTGTTTTTACAACAGAGTTGTTGTTGTTTGTTTTTAATTAAACCCAGTAAGATGTACAGAAGACAATGAGGCAGTAAAAAGTACTGCTTCCAACAGACAGAGGTGAAAGGTCAAATGAGAGCCACAGCAAAGAGGTCACTAGCAGCCACAGCCTTCTCTCTGGGGTTGGGGTTCGCTGGTGAGCCGGCCTCCCTGCGGAGCTGAAGGTTTGTGCTGTACACCAGACTCAGCAGCATTCAGATCCAGGCTTCCATCCTGAATGTTCTGATAGATTTTCTTGGCAGCCTCAAGGAACGCATCTTCTACATTCTCTCCCCTAAGAGGCAATTGACAACTTTATTCGAGAACCACAGTTTTCTACAAAAGATAAGACATTATACACTGACCTTTTGCTAACCTTTAGTCAACTGCCATGATGTCTTCAACTTAGCCACTGTCATCTAATAGAGAGATTACCAGAAGACTGAGCTAAGAGAACAACATGGGAAAATATTTTCTGTGGAAAGCATATAAACACAGTACTGTTTCTACAAACCCTATTTGGATAACTGTATGTGTCCAAATCATTAAAATGCTAACACATTAGTATGTGACACTTACAATAGGCCATTTCTGTAATAATAGAGGGTATTCAAAACAGAAATGAAATCTCCAAACATGCAAACACGATTCCAGGATTTGCAGTCTGATTAGCCAAGCATGAACTGTTTTCATCCTGTGATGGTGACATGTTCATGCTTAGCTATGTTCACACTTCAATGTTCTTAGGACTAATAGTACAGATTAACAAAAGGGAGCTACCTTCTTACCAACGCAAGGAATTTTTGGCTTAATAAATGAAGAACTATGATGAAAGTCCTGGGTTTCAATAATGGACATGGATAGCAAGTAGAAATGTTAATTATGCTTCTAATTAGTCTTAGACACTGAGTATTTCTGCTTTTTACCATGATCATAAGTATTAAACAGTTTGACCAAGCTTGAGTCCAAGATGCCAAACTCAACCTCAGTTGGAAGTGTCAAACATTTTTGAAATGTTTATATAATTTCATTTAGTAATATCAGTTACCAATGGACATAATCAAGGTATAATCTTTTAGGTAAAGTAAAAAAAAAAAAAAATTATTTTAAAATGACAAATAGGAAGCAAAAGGTTGCTTACTATTCCTCTAGCCATAAGCATTATGCATTTAAGTATTACACCTTTTAGGTACAGGTGACTCATGAACAATAGAGGCACCCGGCCTTCCTCCCAGTCAAAAATCTGCTCTGAACATTCAAATTCCCAGTGATGGGGTTGACCCTTGAACCAGGTGGGTTTCAACTGTGCAGGTCAACTGAACTACGCAGATCAATTCAAAAAAATCCTCAGATGACTGGACCCGCATAGTTCACATTGTTCAAGGGTCGAGTGTGTGTGTATGTGTGACATACATTTTTCATACACATGATTCTACTTTGAGAAATTTGAATGTAATTAAAAATGATCTAATTTTAGCCATACTTACGTTTTTGCACTTGCTTCAAGGAACAATAAGCCTAAAAATAAGATTCAGATTATGATTAGGACATTTCAAATTACCTCTCAAGGGCATTTTCTTAAGCAACATTTCAATATAAGTTTCCCATCAGCTTTCAGTATTTTATGAAAGAATATGAGATGGAGGGAATAATTGTACTAACCCGCCCCCCCCCCATGAATTCTCAAACACATTTTGCTATTTCCTCATCCTTGAAATTTGAGCAGTTTGCATTAAAAAATAATTGTCAAATAATCTGCAGGATCAAAATCCCTGGAAACTCTTCCAAGTGTGACCACCCCCCAAAAAGCCATTAAAAGTCTTAAAAGAAACCCACCATTTTCTTCAGCGAACTGTTTGGCTTCTTCATATGTAACATCTCTCTGTGCCTCCAAATCTGCTTTATTTCCTATGAGAATTATTACCTAATGTGTGACCAAAAGAAAGGCATCTCAAAACAAAAGCAACCATTTAAATGAAGCATAAAAATTCTCAAATCCAAAAACCTTAACAGAAATATTGGTTTAAAAAGAAAAACAAGTACTAACAATTATCCACCAGACTGTACTACAGAATGATGAAGGCATTAGTATTAAGAGGGATCTCAGCGATCTTCTGGGCCAGGAATTCACAAACTTTGTGTAAAGGCCCAAGAAGCTGTAATTCAGGCTCCTGAGCCCCATATTGTGGTCTCTTTGTATATGCTTTTTTAATTTTTAACAAACATCTACGAATGTAAAAAATATTCCTAGCTCTGCAAGCCATTCAAAAACAAAATGGCCCAGGAGGCACGCCTGCTCTAGGCCAAAGATTACAATTTATCTGAGGAAGATTACTAAGGGCCCATGGACAAACTCCAGGGGACCTGTGAATGCACTGAAGTTAAGCACAAAATGCTGTAAACAAGGACAGTCCCTGAAGAGAGAGTTCGTGGCTTTCAACAGATTTTTCAAGTTTCTGGGACCATCAAAAAGTTTAAAAACTACTAGTTCAACTGCTTCATGCTACAGGTAAGGACATTAAGACTCAAATTAGGCAGAGACTTGCTGAAGGTCAGTTAGCAAGTTTGTGGTAGGAGGACATTAGAATCCAGGTAGGATGCCCTGTGACCTTCAGACACTGTCCTAACCCACACTATCCCTAGGCAGGACTAAGCTTGTAGCAACTGATAACCAATGTCTGTGTATCCATTCGGGGGCAGTAGGAAACACATATGCAGAGAGTTCAAATCCAAGGCAAAATGTCCTACAACTATATCCACTTTGTAATCCTTTTATACATGTGAGGTTAGGCCAAAGTTAAAGGCAGTTCTGAAAAGTTCTAAGAAAAAAGTGTGCAGCCTTGGGAAATAGAGGTTTGGGGGTGGGGAGGTGCTGCAGAGAGATTTATAGATAGGCTGTCTCTGTCTATCTGTCTCTGTCTATATGTTTATTTGACAAGAACTGGTAAACTCTCCCCCCCCTTCCCAAACATATGTGCTAATCCAGATATGGAAACTTTAGGAATGAATGGTTCAACTAAAAGGGGCTTTCTACCATCAACTTTTTTTCATGCGAAGGTACAGCCCTTGGGCTCTCCCACATCCAAAAATGGTGTCCAATAAACTTTTTACCTGAAATGTAAACCTTGAGCAAGGACAGTTAAATAATACAACAAAAGTGAGCATTCTTCAGTCAAGTATGGACAACTGACCACTGGGGAGGGAAAGAAGTTTTCACATATAATCTACTGCTCTATCGAAGACTAAGAAAGTGACACTTTAAAAAAAAGAAATCACTTTTTTCTAAATACCAAGATTGGTAACATCACAATGGCGTAGTATAGGGCAACTATGAGACAGATACTCAAAACAAGAAACATCTGCTGAACAGCAACACTGCCTCTTCTCCCAGTTCCTTAAGAATTTCTACACAGTGCTTCCTATCATTCTGAAAGGCATACCAATACGACGGAAGTATAAAACATACCACCACCAAAATAAGGAAGTATAAACAGTAATCCCCCCCCCTTATCCAGTTTTTTGCTTTCCAAGGTTACAGTCATCTGTGGTCAACATATCATCACAAGAGGGGTATAAATTTATTTAGAGAGAGGCCACATTCACATAACTTTTATTATCGTATAGTTATAATTATTCTACTATTAGTTATTGTTAACCACAACAGTACTGTGCCTAATTTAGAAATTAAAATTTATCATAGATATATATGTATAGGAAAAAAACAGTATGTATCAGGTTCTGTACTATCTGTGACTTCAAGCAACCAGTGGGGGTTCTTGGAACGTACCCCATGCAGGAAAGGGGGAACTACTGAAATTCCCACATAGAAATCAAAGGCAGCACTACAGAATATGTTAATGTTTGAGCTGGACCTTAAAGAAGAGATTTTCTTTCTTCTGAAGATCTGGTAAGATTTCAAGAGGCATAAATGAGGCAGGAAGGATATGGCTAATTTTTTATTACACTTCTCGAAGGACCCTCTACAGTGAGGGTTTTTTGTTTTTAAAAACATTTTATCTGAGATAACTACAGAATCACTGAAGTTTACAAAAAAGTAGAGAGGTCCTAAGCTTCTGCAATAGTAGCATCTTACCTATTTATAGTACACTCTCAAAACCAGGAAAGTGACTTTGGTTGGTACAACCTATAGGTTGTTATACACACGCGCGCGCGCATGTGTGTGTGTGGTTCTATGCAATTTTATTGAAGCTATAGATGTGTGTCATCACAATCGAATATAGAAATGTTCCATCACTACAAAGGAACTACTCTGTGCTGCCCTCTTTATAGTCAACTCACACTACTCACACCCCTCCACCCTCACGGCTTAACACCTGGGAACCACAAATCTGCTCTCCATCTCCACAATCTTCTATTTTTCAGAATGCTTTATATGTGAAGTCATACAGAATTTGATCTTTGAGATTGACTTTTTCCACACATCATAATGCCCTTGAGATCCATCTGAGCTGCTGCATGTATCAACAGTTCATTCCTTTGTATGGCTGAGGAATATTCCACAGGACAGATGTACCAGTTATTTAACCATTCACCTACCAGTGCCACTTAGGTTGTTTCCAGTTTTTGTCTGTTGCAAATAAAGCTGCTATGAACATTCATCTATAGGTTTGTATATATACCTACAGTGGGTTTAATGTGATGATAGATATGAAAGTTCTAGGCACAGTCTCTGCCATAACAGGCAAACCATTCTAACTGACCCTCAATGTGATTCAATTGCTGTTCCCTGACAAAAGCCAATGCTACCAATGATTACATATTTATTGAACCAGGCCTCTGCTAGGTGCTGGGGTACAAAGCTAAGGGAGACAGGTTTCGTTCTTGAGAAGCTCAGAGTGAGTCACAGCCCAGTGCCTTTCCTCACTTGTCCCTGGAACACCCTCAACACTGTCTGCTCAACTCTTACCGCCCCCCCACCAGAAGTCCCAGCTCAAACACCCTACACCTCCTCTGTAAAGCTGGTTTCTCCAGATGGCACTGCTTGTCCTGGGCCCCCATCAGCACACCAGTCACTCTGTTCTAACTCATATTTCACTCTGCTTTTTGGCATAGCCTCTTATATTCCCACAGGTAAGCTCCCTGCTCAACTATAACCTTCGGGGCCAAGGACCCACTTTGTCTTTGTACACTGCAGAGTCTCACATGGTGTCTGGCCCTTAAAAATCTGTGTCTTCTCAGTCTGGCTAAGGAGATAATTTTTTAAAGCATACAAAACTTTATTTTTAACTGAAATCTTAGAGATAATTGAAGACTTACATGCAGTTGTAAGAAATAATAGAGAGAGATCATTTGTTTATACACTTTGCCCAGTTTCCTCCAGCGGTAACATTTAATACAACTAATACAGATCCCTTTTAAAATGACAGTTTCATATTTCATAATCTCCACTTGACATGAGATCACCACCCCACTCATAACTTTCATTTTTTTCCCTAACCACAAACATGGAAAAAAAAAAAAAAAAAAAAAAAAAAGGCCAAGCATAAAGTGTGATACCTGGGGTAATCTGTACCAAAAAAAAAAAAAAAATTTGTTTTCTTCAATTAATTTAAGAATAAAATAAAGATCTTCATTCTTTGTACCCGAATACAAAAATCCCACTAGCAAGTGACTTTCCTTTTTGGGTTAGCTTAGATCTTAAATTTTCTGTATAATCGATATCATTAACTTACAGTATTTGGATTGGTGAGATTCCTTGCATCTGTCAACCAGCTGCTTAAGTGGTTATATGTACTTCTTCTGCAAAAATTAAAGTTTATATTTGTGACTGCCATATAAAATTTCCATTTCAGTAGAAAAAAAACTTTAATATTTAAAATATAGACTTTAATCAACAGATCCTAAAAAAAATTTTTGCTTTGACTACATTGATACCCTGAAGAACAACAGTTGTGGAATACAAACACATACTTTTTTTGCATTTGTCTTTAAATTTTTCAAATTAAAAACTAAGTCAGTTATGCTATATACAATATACTGGTATAAAAATCACCTTTCTGGGAGAAGGGATTACATGTACAAATTGCCAAAACACCTGTACATATTGCCTATAAAGTACAGCATAGGCAATACAGTTAATAATACTGGAATAATGGTATGGTTTCAGGTGGGCACTAGATGTACTGAGGTGTTCACTTTGTAAATTACATAAATATCTCATCACTCATGTTGTACACCTGAAACTAATATTGTACTTCAACTGTAATTGAAAAGTAAAAAAGTTATTAAAAATTTTAAATCCACCTTTCCTTAAAGAGTAAGCTAATTACAACAACATAAAAACTGGCTTTAAAAGGGCACTGAATACAGGCAACTGGAAATTCAAATCCCCAAACATCAGAGTTGAGTTAATCCTAACTCTGCACTCTTATTTATCAGCAGCTAAATCATTTTGGGATTCAAACTGCCCTATTTCTCCACTTTCTCCAAGAAAGGGTTTAAAAACTCATAGGCTCATTTGCACTAGACAGGAAGGCCCTGAAACAGCAAACAAATCCAAATCATTTACAATATTATACACAGTATAATATTAATCGGACATACAAAAGGCAATAAAAATTCTGAAGGTTAAAAATGCTTTTCATTTATACACATTCACAGAACATTAATCCATCTTACTCATTTAACAGGTAAGGAAACAGAAGCCCACAAAGATTTAAGTGATTTCAGAGCCAGGTCTAGAACCTTTATAAACAATGGGTCCTCAAAATGTTTCAAGTTTAGCCTTGGGAATAGTATATTCCATAATCTCCAATTGCCAGTGCTTACATGAAATTCAATATTCCAAACGTTTAATTCTTTCCTAGTGGGAACTGAAAAGAACTCCTTACTCAGACTCTCTTTTTACTGTGCTGTATCACATCATACACAAATTACTACCTAAATGTCAAAAAAGTCACATAAATCAAAGTAACTTTTCCCAATTTAAAATGTTTAAGTAAAAGGTCAGATATCATTTTTAAAAAGCACAAGCCTTACCACTACTTAATATTTGTAGTACCAGCATACCTTGCCTTTATACAAATATATCTTACTTTGTGCAAAAAACCTTAAATAACATAGCTCTAAAATATTTATACTGATTTTGATGGATTTTAAATGTCAAAGCTGGCAGCAAGAGTGAATTACAAATTGGCAACACTTAGTAAATGGGAAAATCCACACGGCCCATTAAGTGGTATCAAGATCATGAAAACCGTATTATTTACATGTGCTGTAATTTCTGCTAATTGTTTCATTAATTTAAAATTCACCATCATTATTTCAAATCGATAAATACAGTATCATCCAAATATTCATAACTTGGTGCTATAAGAGCTTAAAAAAAAAAGGTGAGGAAATATCCCTAACTTTGTCATGGACGTTAGATATATAAATAATTGACAGAGCCAAACAAACTGCCATGCTAAGCTATGCTGTCAATTTAGCAAAGTGCCTTTTAATGATCAGAGTTAAAGCCAATAAAAAGTATTATTAAAGCAGGGACTTCTAAGTTTGCAAACTGTCAAAGATTGATAGGAAAAAAAATGGGGGGCGGGGGGTAGTGTCACAGCTGCAACATCAGTATCACTATGAAGTATCACCGAGTCAAGAAATCACCTATCTAAAGCCTAAAGGTACTTTTTATCAGTACAATGGAATCTTGGTGCTCAAACTTAATTTGTTCCAGAAGGCTATTTGAGAAGAAATTTGTTTGAAAACCGAGTCATACAGTGACTGATCATACAGGTATCAGCATGAAAGGGTTGTCTGGTCAAGAGCCAAAGTTTTGACAACTGAGACTTTTTTTTCCACAAAAAACTTCACCAAGAACCAAACTGTTTGAGATTGGAGATGTTCAAGAACTGAGGTTTGACTATAAACAGTTTTACTGAGTTATAATGAACATACTATAAAGCTCAACCTTTTAAAGTATATGATGTAGTAGTTTTAAGAATATTCAAAAAGTTGTGCAATGATCATTACTATCTAATTTTAAAACATTTTCACCACCAAAAAAAGAAACCCATACTCATTAGTATTCACTCCCCATTCCCTGGCAATCCAACTTTGTCTCTATGCATTGGCCTATTCTGGGTATTTCATATAAAAGGAATCATATAAAATGTGGCCTTTTGTTTCTGGCTTCTTTCACTTAGCAAAATGTTTTCTAGGTACAGCCACTGTATGGCATGTATCAATCTTTCTTTCCTTTTAATGGCTGCATTTTAATTCTTAGTATGCATATGCCACATTCGTTCATCCACTCATTCATCAGTTGATGAACATTTGGGTTGTTTCCAGCAGAAGTACACGTTTTCTTTTTTAATATTTTATTTATTTTGAGAGAGAGAGAGAGAGAGAGAGAGAAGGGGGGAGGGGTTGGAGAAACAACCAGTTGCCTTTCACATGCCCCCAACAGGGTACTCCGCTTGCAACCCCGGTATGTGCCCTGACAAGGAATCAAACAGGCGACCTTTCAATTTGCAGGACAATGCCCAATCCACTATGCCACAACAGTCGGGGTTCCAGCAAGTACTTTTAGTAACTTAAAACAGACACACGCTACCAAAAGTATTTCCTATGCTTAAAAGATATGTTTAAAAGCAAAACATACATGTATCAAACCATCACACTGTATATCTTAAATTTACACAATGTTGTATGTCAATTATATCTCAATAAAGTTGGAAAAAGAAAAAGACACATACCAAAAAAGCAAAACAAACTATTAACTCTATACATTAATACAGTGTAAGTACACATCGCCATATTTAAATTTTATTAATTCATGGGGTTTTTAATTACATGAGGTCTTTGGGAATGCTTCGCTCATAAAAAGATGTCCTGTACAGATGGCCACGTTTTTTAAGTCTTCCCACAAAACTATTTTACCAATCACTGCCTGGCTACATGAAGAGTATTAATTAAGGCTGGTTCACTGTTTTAACCCAGAAAATACTTAATTCTGGGAAACAGCTTGAAGCATTTGCCAAAGGGAAATATGCTTGTAAGTCTAAGTATCGTTTGGTCCCACTCACTCATTCCTACCCCACGACCCCAAGTCACAGTCACAATGCTTTAGACTGAAACTCTGCATTAACGTGAAAGGTGATCCAGTTCCTTTTCTAACTCACAGTAGACAAAAAAACAGAGTTTAATGAAGTGGCACAATTTTCCATGTTTTCCAAAAGCCAAATATTTATGGTCCAGTTTTGTTACTTTGTATAAAGTGTTTTGTGTTTCCAGAAGTAGCCAAGCTGAAATAAATTTAATCTCACTGCCTGAAGTACTATAAACTATTTCAGCCCATTTTAGAACAAAAGAGGATTTAAATTAAATACTCAAACACCTTCAGACGCAAGCATAGGAACTTTGTGTAATCTACCATGTTGGATTAGCAAAACTACTTAATTCCTTGCTTGTTCGTATTTCGAAAAGACGAATTCCTTGCTTGTTCTTTTTTCGAAAAGACGGAAACTTTAACACTAGAGACTGAACAGAGTAATTCCTCAAGACTTCCCTGCCTTCTACTGAAGTGAAAAGAACAAAGTTTGGTATAAAATACTATTTCACCTCAAATAATTCAACTGATGCTTTTTAGAGTAGTATTCTTTTGTCAGCTACACAAACATCTTCTAAAGTTTTTCTTCAGTCATATGCACTTTAATGAAAAGAAATCAACACGTTATGTCAAGTCTTACAAGCAAATTTAGAGGAGAAAGCCATAAAACCAAAATAAGCACATTTATAGTCACATAATTACAAACTAAGGAATGCTTAAGTCAATAAAAAAGAAATCACACTGCCTAAAGATTTTTTTTTATTATGAAGGTTGAAAAATTATTAATCTCTTACCTAGTGATATCATACACCATAAGCGCTCCTGCAGCTCCTCTGTAGTAGCTTCGTGTAACAGCCCTAAACCTCTCCTGTCCTGCTGTATCCCATATCTGCAGTTTGATTTTTTGGCCACTAACTTCAATTATTCTTGTACCGAATTCAACACCAATTGTGTGAGGACAATCAGCCATAACTGTTAGGGAGGAAAAAAAAAAACATAATATAATGTTCCAACTTCAAGAAAGCTTCAAATTAAGACCAGTGGGGAAAAAATCCACTGGATGAATCAAATGACAACAATGCTTGCAGGCTATGAACAGACTAAAGCTAACACTATGGAAAAAAAAAAAAAAAAAAAAAGGTCAGCAAACACCCAGAAGTTTAAAGACACAGAAATGGACTAGAATAGGGGTCAGCAAACTTCTGTAAAGGACCAAATAATAAATATTTTAAGATATGAAGGCCAAAAGGTATCTGTCAAAACTATTCAACTCTGTAGTTAAAACAAAAGCAGCCATAAACAATGCATAAAATGGGCATACTTGTGTTCCAATAAAACTGTACGAAAACAGGCAGTGACTGGATTTGGCCTACAGGCCCTTGTTTGCTGACACCTCACTAAAAGAATCTGCTAATTAAAAATAAAGATAGTGATAAACTCTTTATACCCCCAATGTCATACTATTTATCCTCCTGACAATCCTTACGTATAACAAATCAATATTGGAAAATATCATCAATGCCTCAAAGAAAATCACCACATTTAATGTACATTTATAGTTGTATATTAAGTTACATATGTCTAATCCAATATGACAAATTTATTAGTCCTTTACTTATAATTAGGCCACTGGAAACCTAAACTCACTATTCTCTGGTACAGGTATACAAAGACCACAGGACACTTCGTAACACATTGTATTAAGCAAAAAATAAAAAAAAAAAAGAAAAAGAAGAAGAAAAAGAAAACTTCTTTTTCAACTATATATAAACAATTTCAACTATATTTAGCCTATCAGTTACATAAAATAAAATGGGCCCTTCCCCTACCACCCAATACAAAGCTGTACGCAAAATTTTAATCAAGTCATGAATACAGAAAAAATTCCATTTTAATATTTCCAGTCTAGTATTAGTTAACAAATGATACATGCAACAAATTTCCCCAGTAAGATAATTTCTATAATGCAAAGTCAGAGAATAAAAAGATTTAAATTTGACATTACAGTATACATTTTAAAAAATTAAGTTTAACCATCAAAAAATCTGAAGTGATCTAATTATATGTGGCATATATAAGTCAACACTCTATATATGTGGGTATATTTCATTTTATCTGCACCTACTTAAAAATAAAATCACTCCCTAAAGACAGAAGTGCATATGTAGGGGCAAATTATGTTTAAATGCATAAAGTACACTGAAAATGACACTTTAAAAAGTAGAGAACAATGAAAATTTACGAATATTTTACCTTATATATTAAACTTACATTTTTTTTCTGTAAATTGATGAAGCAAGCATGATTTTCCTACTCCCATGTCCCCTGTTTAAAAAAAATTTTCAAGTGGCAATTATATTTCTTCATTTTACACTCTTATAATTATATGCAATGATTGCTATATCCCATACAGTATCACACATTTCTGGTGCACTTAGAAAAGTTTTATTTCCGTAATTTATTATGAGTTCAAAAAATCCTACAGGTCAGTTTTCACTGTGATGTACATATTCACTATTCCCAACTTTTGGTGGTGATAGAATTTGGTTATAAATTATGTTACTAGCCACCAGCTTGGAAGTGCCTTTTTAACAGAGAAATTGTCATTTTTTTTTCCTTTGAGATATTTTGAAGTTTTATACTTTCTCTCCCTTAATCATGCATAAAAGCAAAAGACTCCTAAGTAGTAACACACAGAGCAGCAGCATACAAAAGCAGAAGTATATTTTGGAAGCCTGATTTACTAGATCCCATCTTATCTCATATTTATTATATTTTTGCGTAATTCCAAAAAAGAAAAGAATATACACTATATGAAAATGATTATAGAAGAGTATCGCCTCTGGACTGCAGTAATTTAACCTTTGGTGAAGGAAGCATTATGATATAGTCACATAAGCTCAACATTAAAACAAACTGTTCTCATGTGAAGAATTAAAAAGTGTATGTACTTTCAACTGTGCTCTTACAACTCGGATAAACATCACTGCCTTTTGAGTAAAATCTTCTTGAAACTTAAGAGAAAAACTACCAATATTTTTATTTATGTATATTATAAAGTTATTCTCAATGTTCTCTATTAATTTTTGGAATCCAGGGGGCTCTGAATTTAATTTCATTAAATTTTTGAAATGTACCAGCACTCCTAGGAAATTAATTTCATTCCCAGTAGTAACAAGCCTGAAGGTAGCCTTCAAGAACAACCAACATCACTTCAAAAACACCGAGCACTGTACTACAAAAGTATCCAGAGCCACAAGGCAAATTATACACTGTTAATGCAAAAATGAATCTTCTCAATAATTTTGCACTGAGAAAATCATCCACTTCTTCTGGAGTGGTATGTTATTAGTATAAAAATATTTTGTATATTATAACCTTCTTTGGAGAACAAGAGTGTAAATTAAACTTACCAATAATAATATATTTAAAGATGTAAGAGTAGTTGTATGGTGCAGTTGCCATGGTGGCACTAGAAACAAAGAAAACTGTGTTACTTCAGTAGAAAAGTATACACATACAGAAGTTATCCAAGCTCATAGTTGCTATCCTTTAAAGATATATAAAAAGCAGCACACTGATAATAAAGTGTTGGTTACAGTAAGCCAGAGTAAAACCTGCATTTTCCAAATTGATCAAATGCACAAATTTTCATGGATGCATTTAACATTCTCATGCATTACCTATAAAAATATAAGAAACCATTTATATCAAAACAATTCCAATATTCCATACTGGGAAATATCCAGTAACAAATGTTACTCTAGACAATGTTAAACAAAGAAATCTTTATAAATTCGAGTTAAGCATCATGGTAAACAGTCCTCTTCCCCCATTAAGGCCTCATTCCTATTAACTGGTCATGTGAATTACTGATGGCCTACTTGTTCAGAACTCTCTGATTCTTACAAAAGAATGTTTTTTTAAAAAATAACCACTAATTTATAAACACAAACATTTTTACTCTACTTTAAATCAATGGTTAGCATAGGATCCAAAGAAAGAGCAATCATTATTTCCACTCCAAAGTAATGACAGATTTAGATACAACCACATGAAACTGTTGTTCTTGTACATTTTTTTAAAGTCAATCATTGGCAATTTCATATGGTTCAACCTAATGTAGGATTTGAAAATTAACAATATATCAAATACTGGCATAACTACTACTTGTGATTGTAAAATTTGAAAGTTTATGTATTAGAATATACTTTAAAGGATCACAGCCCATTCCTTACTCTCAGATAACTTAACCTGAAGAATTCTAATTTCTCTCCTACTTTTAATAACTTAAAAATAAAACCTCTTCAATTTATTCAAATGAATGCCTTAATATTGCTAGGTGCCAGAGAAGAGGTAAATTCTAATAGTGGTAATAACTTCCAATAAAATTCTCAAATGAGTTTTCAGTTAAGATAAAAATTCTTTTTATATATGAAGGTTTAACCTTCATTTTTAAAAATTTGTTTTCCAGTAATTTTTACTGTTCTAGCCAACTGTTATATTACAAAAGCTATGTATTTGGTATGACTGGAGAAATCCGCTTAAGTTAACACCTTCTTATGTATATTTCAAATAAAATTTCTACATAACTAATAAATTACCTGTAGAAAAAGTATATATGTAATAAGTGAATTATTGTTATTAGGAAAGGGGAAGTTGTAAATTATTGGACAGTCACTTCAGACAACACAGTCTCCCCACTTAGAATTATGAGTTACATTCAACAAAAGTGGATGCTCTGTTACCCATTTCACCTTGACTTCTTGTAACCCATTTATAATCAGGCTTCAACATCACAGAAAACTCCCTTAACCAGTTCCTTCAGGAAAGGAGGTTTTTCTAGTTAGATTAACTCTGATTCTGATCATCATTTTGATTCCCCTTTTTCCAGACACTGGGGACTCAAAAGGTTTAAGAATAAACTTGGTCCTATGGGAAAAATTGGTCTGAATTACTCACTAGATCTCCAAACCAGATCCCAAATACAAGGGAAAAAATAATCTCTCACAGTAAAAATGATATTTAAAGGTTATAATATCTTAACTTGCATTCCTTCCAGACTCTTTTCTTCTAGTTATTTTTTAAGTCTTTTTTCCCCATTGAAACTTGAGGAAAAAGCAATAATTTAGTAACCTTTAAATTACTGTTTCTCTCATGTTCTTTCCATTCTGATTTCCCTATTTCTTTTCCCTATTCTTATTGAAAGTTGTAGCTGAACATACTTTGGTACCTTCTATTTTATGTTAAAACTATGGTGTCTAACAATATCAATTTCTACTTGAAATGCTCTAAAGACTAATCATGAAATTACAACCCAGTTCTAGTTGTACTCATTTGTGTACTTGGTAATTATTACACAAGCATTAATTAAATACCTAAAATAAGTAATTTTGAAAATGTTTTTAAAAATTACCAAGCATTACTCGCTATCAACTATTTCCAAATAGAGAATGATCACTACTTCAGATCGAACACCAGCACCTATCTTTTCTTCACCACACAATTTTCTGGTTCAAATTCCTAAGAAAAATTACAGATAAAAACCTTAACAGCAGAATTAAAAAAGATGACTCAAATTTACTAATTTCAGTAACAAGGCAGGCAGAAAATATCTAGCACTGCAGCCACTTATACAACAGGACCAACCTTTCTTACTCTAAGGATACTAAGCTCGTTTTAAATATACTCCTACAGTTTATTGATAACTTTCATTCAAAATTATTCATTTGTAGTAGAACAATATTCACGTGGCCTCTTTTATTTATCTTTTTCTTTATTCAATTTATTGGGATGACATTGGTTAATAAGATCATAAATGTTTCAAGTGTACATTTCTATGACACATGATCTGTATATTGCATATTAACTATTTAATACTGCTTTAACCAAGGATTTCCCAACCTTATTTCTTGAATATAAAACATACCACTCACTGCTAAGGTGAAAAGATGAGAAATGTATTTTTAACTAGCAACTAGCTTCGGAAGGTGAAAAAAGTTTTTTCCCTATTACTTAAGGAGTGCCTTTGCTTCACTTATTCAAAAGTTAAAAAAAAAAGGGGGGGGGGGCCCTAAGAAATGTCAATGTAGTTCAAATGCTCTGAAAACATGAACCTGACCTCTCAACACTACAATCTCCACTCATTAAAAAATCTTGGTAATGTTCTGTAACTAGTGCACAATTACTGGTATGATTAAAATGCACTTTCTTCCAGGTTTTATAAAAAGCATTTGAACAAGGTTTACACGTACATGAGATCACCTTTAGCGCCTTCAATTTCTTAAAAGGAAAAAAAGAGCACTACGTGCAGGCAACAGGCATCATTAAACATATGTAAACTAATATGTACATGAACAACATGTAAACTAATAAAAAAACACAGCTGTGTGGTTACCACTTATTGGGCACTTAATATAAACAAGGGAATGTGCTAAATGCTTTCCATGCAATCTCATTTAATTCCACTTAATATAAGCCAGGGATATGCTAAATACTTCACATGCAATCTCATTTAATTCCTTACTACTACTCTTATAGTGTTTATTAGCCTCATTTTACAGATTAGGAAAGACTGAACAGGCAAATAACTTGCCCAGGTCACACAGCTAATTGGTCGTCTATATTAAACTTAAGACTGTTCTGACTGCAAAGAAACCCACTCTTCACCACTATACCATCTTCCCTCCTCCACAGTTATGAAATGCACCTTTAAGAACATCTATGAAACCCTATAGAGGTAACTTTGGGATACGATTCTTTCTCAGTTCACTCACTTGGTTCTAATTTAATATTATGAATAAGTAGTATTAAATAATTACATTCAGAGTATGCACTGTAATCAGGACTTACAGATATGAATAAATGGTAATGCCAGTAATAAAAATTCATTATATCTACTTACAAAAAAAGTTTCTGAAGGGAAATAACATTTGTTGAGAACAAGCCATGTGACGATCTGCACTTTTCCCTATATTGATTGTCTTACATAATTCTTAATTCTCACAACTCTTCAAAATCATCATCTTGTCCATGTAAAAACTGAATAAACAGAAGTTTGGAGAAATTCACGTTTGGCCATTGTTACAAAGTCAATAGCAGAGCTGGAACTTGAACGCAGGCCTAATTCCAAAGAACCCAATTTTCTCTAAGGTAACTTATTAAAGCTACATAAATACATAGACATAAAAATAAAAGCAAAAACTCAAAATTAGAGGAAGACGGAGAATAGCTATACTAACAAATTAGGGTAACAGTTTTACTATCAGTGCATGTAAAATTCAGCTCAAAACTTCCTGGCTGTCAAGAGAAATGTTTATTAAATGCATAAACACTAATAATTGTGTGGCCCATTTTAAATATTAATTATGCTTATTATAGCTTTAACACAATTTTGCAACCTCATCTCCTGAACATGAAACATACCACAGTTAAGGTGAGAAACACGTTTTTTAATTTGGAGTTTGCTACTCCCAAAACATTTCAATGTGTTTTTTTTTTTTTTTTTCACTTAACAAAATTACAGATGTTTTTCCAGGCTAATACATATAGATCTAAATGGTTACTAAATGCGTATTATACATAATCACTGTTGTGCCGAAAACCGAACTGCACAATCTTCATCTACTGAATCAGACACCTTTCCAAATATAATTATACAAACATATAAATGACCAGTTTTGAAATGTGCAGATAGGGACGTGAAGGGAGACACTTTCATACAATGTGCTTGTGGGAGTCTGAATTGCCACAACAGTTTTGGGATGTAATCACTATATATTTTATATATATACTGGGATGTAATCAGTATATATTTTTAAATCTTTTTAAAAAAGATCCAAACCACCCTTTGATCAAGAAAGCGACTTAAAAAGTCTACAGAAATAAAAGTTTCAGTACACAAGGTTACAGGTTCAAATGCATTAAATGCAGCATTTTACAGCAAAAAAACTTGAAAACCTTCTAAACTCCTATCAACAAGAAATGACTAAAGTACAATACATCTGTACTATGAAACAATATATACCTAATTTAAAAACATTTTTAAAATATATGTATTAACCTGGAAATAATTCCCATGATTTTAAGTGAAGGAAAAAAAAAAAAAAAAAAAAAGACCTAAGTTTGATGTGGTAACATACCCTTTCTGAACACAAACGCACACTCAATTCTCTATGTACATACTGTGGAAAGATGCACATCAAACTGTAAAAATGAACATATGGACTGAAACTAGAAAAAGGAAAGAGAAATTATTAACTTTCTTTATCTATACCTACACTGACAGTATAATAAGCATGTGCTATTCTAATATTCAAAGTAGAGAAAAAATAAAGGACTATTAAATATTCAAGCATTTTATATACAATTCTGATACAAACAAGTTAAAAAATAAGCCAAAAGATCTCTCTTTCATAATATTTCCAACATTACTTCCACATTCATAAATAATGTGGGAAACATTACATGAAGTCAATCATATGATCAGCCTCAAAAAAAAAAAAAGAAGAAAGCACTCCAATAAGCAAGGGTATTTCCAATTTTTTAAAAATAGTTTAGCTCCATACTTTGTTACCTTAAGCACCATGTCTGACTAATACTTTCACAACTGTTAATAGCTATTTTATTCTACTCCTTAGAACGTATGTTACTGTGTAATTTTTACATAACTCATTCAACACAGCGTAAAAAATCAATCCACTAAATATTTCAAGTGATTTAAATTTTGATCCTCACTGTTGAGTTTTTTTAAATGCAAGATAAACACCAGAGCCAAGACAAACTGCTTTTGTGATTCCAATATAAAAATGTTGAGCATCTACCAAGCATAAAAACCTTATGCTAGATTTGACAATACAGTAATGATTAAAAAACAAAAGCAAAACAACATTGTCCCTGCCTTCATGAAACTCTAACAACAGAAGCATTTTGATTCGCTTATAGGCCCAGTAAAGTGGAATGCTACTTGATTTGTCAGTCAAGTGGACACAAAACTTACTGTAGTCACTCTAATAATCTAATCAAAATGAGTGGACAATTTCCTTTCCTCAAAAGTAAAGCAACCTCTGAAAATAAATCAGCCATTTCTGAAACTCACCTAAAACACACATACACACCCCACCACCACTTCACCTTTGACAAGCCACACACTTTTCTACAAATCAGTAATGTAAGTAAGAAAAAATCTTGAATTCCTTCATGTGTCAATGGCAAAAACTGTCCAGGTAACTATGACGGTATACTATGAATAGGAAATAAAGTACTCCAATACTGCACCTCTGTGGACAGAAGTACTTAGGAGAAAAACAAAAATAAAAACCTTGCCCTTACTACTACAGTTAAGAGGATTAGCTCAAAAAAAAAAAAAAAGAGAGAGAGAGAGGAGGTGGGGGGACTAGTAATAGTGAAAATTTTACTGATGAAATGATATGATGTCTGAGATCTGCTTCAAAATAATCTGGGGGCGAGGGTACAGGTATGAAACAAGACTGCTGACTATTGCTGACACTTGCTGACAGGTATATGAAGCCTTAATATACTACTCCATACTGTATATGTTTACAATTGTTTAGAAAGAAAGTATTTAAAAAGTAAAGAACATCTTTGATACCTCTATTTGTACATTGCTGTCTCCAGTCATGCCTGGCATTTAACCATATAAAAATGTTTCAAGCTTTTTTATTAATAAAACATTAAGCATATCTCAATAGCCCTTGTTTTAACATTCTATTTATTCTATTAACATTCTTAACCAAAGGTTTCCTACAAGTACAGTATCTTACTGAGACTATGCAAAAATAGTTAATGCTGTGATAAAAATCAGTTGTAACAACACCCCAAATTCTGTTGCACAGTTGAAGCACACAACCGTAAAGTTTAACCTAAAATATAAGGAGCAAAAACTTTATAAAACATAACTTTAATTCCAAGAAATTTTTTTAGGTTATTAGAATCTAACGTTTTCCATCTTTTAAATAACTGCCATTTACTGAGTACCTAATATATGCCTGCTAATTGATAAGTATTCTCTAATATTAAAAATGTGTCTAGTATTTTACAGACAAGGAAACCAGCTCAGAGAAGTGACCTATGTGCAATCACACACCAGTAAAGGAAAAGCTAAGATTAAGGCCCAGGTGTGAATCTATAGCTCTCCAAAGGCATGATCCTCTCATTTATTCAATAAATATTACACACTCACTACATGTCTGGCACTGTTACAGGTAATGGGCACTATATGCCAAGCAATGTGCTAAGGGTTTTGAATCCCACTTAAGCCTCACAACCACTCAAAAATGTAGGTATTATTATCCCCAGTATAGGTAAGAACACTGAGTTTGAAAGGTTACCTTCCTTATGGTCACTTAGCTAGGAAGTCAAAGTGCATTGCATATTCCGTGCTTCAAGGCATGACCAAGGAAAAGTGCCTAAGCAGAATACCGAGGAAAAACTTTGGAAAGTCTTAGGGTAAGAAGGAGCGGGAGCTGATTCAGTGCAGCATTAAATCTGCCCTCCATAGCCACATCTGAATTAAAAAGCAGTTGTGAAATGAGGGATAAACTTTGCAAGAGTTCAAATCTGGGCTCTGACACTTGCTGTGGAGCCACCGGGAAAGAACCTGACTCGTGGGAACCCCAGTGTCTTCTTCAAATACAAGCTGGACATCTTGCCATCTGTCGAGTTGTGAGAACGACGGCTGGCAGGGTAGTGGCTGACACGACAGACTCTGGGTTACAAAGGAGCAATCCACGGTCATCCAACGCAAAAATAATGAAGAAGGAATTAAGCTGTAGCTACCTTTGAAAGGGTCAGGTCTGTAACCCTGGCCTAACGCGAGCGTAGCAAACACCAGCCACAGTGCAGGGAGAGTCCCGTTTGCATGCACCATCCTTAACCAGGCCCATCACAACTTCAAGCCTCAGTTTCCTCACTTGTGCAATGGCGTTAATTCGCTCGTCACCAAGAGCTACGTGAAGCAAGATAAACCTGTGTGAAGACATGTAATCTGTGCCTGGCACACAGCAAAATGCAAACCAAGGAAACAACGCCTATTCCTTCTTTTCCATTCTGGGAAAGCCAAAACTTTTGGTTTTCATCATCCCCTCTGGATGCTACCTGGGCTCGGGGCCTTATAGGATGTCACGGGCCTCACAGGGACTCACCCCATCACGAACCTCGCAAGCACAGACCCACAGACCCCTTCTCGAGCCCGAGTCCAGAGGCAGACCGCCCACCTCGACAAGGACACCGGCGCCAGTCCAAGATGCCGGCGTGCTGCCTTTTGTACTCAGGGCCAGGCGCGGCCTGTGGGACGGGGAATGCCACGTCTGGGGCTCGCAGGAGGCAAGGCGGCGCGGCTCGCGCGGATAAACACCGCGGGGGTGGTGTGCAGCCGCCGGGCACGACAGCCGGCAGAGAGGGGCCTGCGGGGAGGCCAGTCTGCGCGGTCCAGCCGAGGAGCCGAGGAAGGCGACCTCGAGCACACCCTTCCCAGCACGCCTCGAAGCTCTCCGCTGGGCGGGGAGAACCAGAGAGCTCGGCGGGTGCAGCGCGGGGACACCCTGGCCCCGGAGAGGAAGTCCCGGCAGGCCTGGCCCCGCGGCGCCCACCGCGACACCGGCCTCGCCGCGGCCTGACAGGGCCTGCCCTGCGGAGTCGCCCGCTCGCGGCCGCGGCTCGCCGTCGTCCCCACCCTCAGCCCTCGGAGAGCCGGGCGAAAAGGCCTCGGCCGCACGGACACTGCGGAAGGCCTGGGTTACCTGGGGGGTTGCTGGTGGCTGGGCAGCTTTCCGGGCGGGACGGGGGGCGTCAGGGCGAGGAAGCGGAGTGCGGGCGCAGCCGGGGAGGGGCGGGGGCGGTCGGCCGAGGCCCCGGCAGATAGCGAGCTGGCCGAGAAGAAGCAGACACGATGGTGGCAAGAGCGGCGGTAGCGGCGACTGTTCTTGCAGCTCCCTCAGGATCTTCCTCGGGCAGGTCCAAGATGGCGACGCTCCCTGCACAGGGTTTCCTGTCACCCTCGCAATGGGCCGGACCACAAAAGAAGGGGGAGGAGGATGCGCGCGCAGTTGGCGGAGCCCGGAAGAGGGTGGCCGGGCCGGCCTGCTAAACCACACCCCTTCCCCAATCCTCCCCTCTGGACTTGTCGCGCTGCCGCGGAGGCCCGCCCCACTGGCCCTCAAGACTGAGGGGGCGGAGGAAAGCACTTATACGCAAGCGCAGTTTACTGCGCAGGTCCGCGTAGAAGCTGCTGAGTGAGGTACGTCTGGGTCTAATAGGGCTAGGTCCGTCCCCCTGAGGGCCTTTAACTTTTTAATGCCAGTTAAGTACCACCCAGTGGACGCTTTCCATCCACCAATCACTGTGCTAAGCACACAATTAATGCGTTCCTTCAACGTGTATTTATTGAACGCTTATACACAGTAGTGAGCAAGGCATGCTAGGTCCCTCTCCAACCACCCCAGAGGCACATAACCCCGTTTCATCGACGGCGAAGCTGAGGCTCAGATGGCTCAAGTCACTTGTTAGATAATGCAGCTAGAAAGCGGTATCTTCTCCCCTGTGTTTCACTTCTATCTCTTTTAACTTCCTTTTTGGGGGTGCCTTGACACAGGGGGATGGAGATGGTGGCCACTGTTTTCACAATTTGCCCATCACCTCCTATGTCCCAGTGTGGTCTCCTATTAGCACCTCAAAGTTTGGCGCAACCCAGCACAAGGCCCCATGAAGACCTTGCGGGTTCTAGGCACTTTGCCTTGTGCTTGGGGATATAGCTATCGATATATCTATCGATAAATATATCCATATATATAAAAATTTATATTTTACAACTGCATTGGTATAGAGATGAACATATCAGTCTGATAACAACAGAACATTTCCTTTGACCTAAAAGTTCATGTTTCTGATTTTAAAAGAACTTAAAACATTATTGTAGGCCCCTAAAAGTATTGCGGGCCCCTAAAAGAATTATGGGCCCTAGCCACTGTGCCTACTGGGTAAGACTACTCTGCCTCAGTCCTCCAAAATGGAGTTCAAGCTCGCTCTTGGCATTCAAGATTTTTCATAAGCTGGTTCTATCACGGCTAAGTGAGATTTCACTGGAAGTGGATAGCAATTGACAGATCTTATTTTCAAAGGACCTGGCTGCATATACCTGTTTTGCAGCTTACTAATGACATGCTGCTATTGGGCATGTCACTCGATTTCTCAGATTCTCAGTCTTTTCTACAAAATAATGATGATGATATATATCTCACATGGGCCTTTGTAAAATTAAATGAGATGAGATATGCAAATATGAACTTAATACATGGGAATGGTTATCACAAGATAACCTGAAGTAACATTGAAATCCCCTCCAGCCCTTATAGGTCTCTACTTTTATTCCTATACTCTTTAGTTCTAATAAATCGTTTGTGGTCACAATTTAACGTCTCTGAAATCAAGAAATCTTCCTGTGCCAAATGAAAGAGAAAGCTGTGAACCAATTGCCATTACTTGTACAGCAACGAACTTAAGCCTCACTTCAAAGTTTCTGTATATCCAGTTGTCACCTAAACTGAAACCTTAATGCATAGCTATTGTTTGTTGAACACTCCCTACGTGCCACGAAGTGTCTTAAGAATCATGCTTAGTTCTTGTTTAATCCCTGGAGCCATGAAATTGATACTATATTTGCCCCATTTTATGAATGAGGAAACTGTGTAATACAAGCCTAAAGTCATATAGGTAAAAATGGGGAGTGCTGGGACTTGAACTCAAGCATGTATGACTTCAGACTTCCCATTCTTTAGCACCACGCCATGCTTCATCCCTTATGTGCATGGTAGCAGCTTGAATGTAGATACCTAATTTCTCTATGTCAAAGACATTACACTTTGACGAACCATTAAAGAGAAACACTGTAGTGAATAGAGTACCTGTCACGTGCTAAGCAATGCAATTAGAGTAGAAATTGTCAATTCTTGTGATAAGTCACAGAATTTTTATTAATAAGTCAGGAGAGACTGCAACCAATTGCATCATAATCATTTAATATCATTTAATATTAAGTCATTTAATATTTAATATTAAATCATTAATTTTTTTACTTTATGGCTTTTAATTTTTTCTCATAATTCATATTGTATATTTATAGTTTCAGAGCAAACTGATTTTGCTATAGGACAACTTACTAGTGTGAGTAAAAATTTTGCAAATGTATTGTGAATAGTTTAGGAATCTACAAGCTAATGTCTAACAGATGACATAGACAGATACATGCACATGCTCTCCTAGCTCAGGATTCTTAAACTAAAAGTTATGAATCTATTTCCTAATATTGATAAACAATGGAAGGGAAAGGAGGCCCAGAGCAGTGGGACGCTTCTGGAGTTTGTGATCACATGCAAGTACAGATGGATCCTCAGATACCACTGGAAAGCTGGATTCCCTCCATTGGATACCAGACATCTGCCAGGGTTTCTAGGTAACTTTTTTAAAAAGCTGTTTTTATGAAGTCATATATACTCAAAATACTCATTGCAGGACTGTTTGTAATAAGAAAAGCCTAGAAATAAACTATTACTAGAGAACTATTATAATAAATTTTAGTACACACATATTGTGGAATATATGCAGTGCAGCAGTTAAAAAGAATGAGGCACATGTGTATGTCCTGATATGGAACAATCTCTAAGAAATACTTTAAGTGAAAAAAACAAGATGTAGTAAACTAAATAATACGCGAACGTTTGTTAAACTGAAGGAGGAACTAGACATGTGTTTGCATGACTGGGCACTGAGAGGGATTTTTTCCCTGTTACCCTGAAACTGCTGTCTAGGCCCAAATCTGAACAAAAAAGTCTATAGGAGCCCACATTCTGCGTTTAAAGAATTGCCAGTGCTTGGAAACCGCTATATTCTAGCAGGGCATCGGAAGAGCCATGATCGTTCTCTCAGCCCTTGCATCGCAACCCCTCCTCCCCACCTGTTCCCCATTCCCACCTCTCTCCCTGCAGACAAACCATTACCACGAAATAGTGGAAAGAAAGAATGGGATATGGGACGGAAGTCAGCCTTTAAGGAAAATGAGTGTTCTGAAAAGGGACCCATCCTTTCCTCTTCCTTCATGAGAATCACTAATGAACATTGGGTGTGCCTGCAGAAGAAGACATTGGCAACCCCCCTCTCCCTGATACATGTTTGGGTAGCAGGCTTATTAGTCTGCTCTGCCCCATTGATTCCTAAACAAAGCACAAATGGAGAGAGACCACATGGCAGGGGGCTTTGGATCACAGGGTGGGGAAGACTAGAGGGAGAGGGAGTAAAACTGCCCCCATCGTGTTCATATACCTTGACTTCCCAGCCCTAGATTAGAGAACAGCAAAGAGATGTTCAAGCTGGAAGTCGGCTGGAAGATGCAGCAAATGTATGCGGGGTCACCCATTCCTAGGTGAGATGCATGAGATCACTCCAGGTACTGATTCTTTGTCGTGTCCACTTGTTCTTGTTCATTTCTACCTGTTTATATTTTTATAATTTCTTCTGTAAAAATAGATGTTATTCTGTTCTTTATCTTTTTCCAGAGCCTAAACATTTAAGTCATTTTCAAATCTCTCTATTATGTTCATTTAAGCCAAGTTAATTCATCTCCTTGATTGGTTTTATAGGCTTAATCTTAATTGTTAATTTTTCTCATGTTTTAGATTTTTGGTTCAGAGGCATATCTGGGATTGTAGATTTCTCTCCCCGCGCCCCCGGCCCGGCTTATCCCTTTTTGTATAGTGGTTTTGGAGTTGTCACCAATCTAGAGTCAGACATTAAAATATCATTGTCCCAATTTTTGTGGTAATATTGAAGATATAGCAGAACCAATACAGTTTGTACTCTGAAATTTATTACTGTGTGCATGTGCTATCTAATTTTTAAAAATTATAATATTTTCAGATGTAGTTGATTGACTTGCAGTGATATATAATTCAATTAAGTAAAAATAAATAATTTAAAAACACTAGTTTAATAAAAAAATAAGTGGTCATTAAAATACTTCAAAATTTAACAGACTGACCAAGAAGTCAAAATCAAGTTCGTGGGACTCTTTAATCTCTGGATATGAAAAAGGATTAGATTCCAATCCTTTATAAGTAATGTATAAATGAACAGATATGTACATGCTATATTCGATTGTAAAAGAAATTTTGTGACCATTAAAATAAGCTCTCCCCACAACCACATACCTTATACTGACCCCCCCCCAATATAATCCTCTGGAGTTATAACTTATGGGGGTGTGACCTCCTAAAACTGACCTATAACAACAACAAAAGTCATATAAACTGAAAAGTGTACTTGCAAATTTCTCAGGAGAACTTAACACTGGAGACTGATTTATTTTCTCTTGAGTTTCCCTTTGGTATTTAATCTGATAGCCGTCTCTTTGACCACCAGAAGAAGTCGTTTAGATTTAGAAGCCATGTTATCTGAAAAAATAGGCATTTTTGAACTATAGAATATACTCAGTGTGACAAGATAACCACATCATGAAATCCACATGAAAACTAAGATCCAGTAAGAAAATATCAGATTTAACACTTTCATCACATGCTTACTCCAAGCCATGCACTTACTTAGAATAAGGGAGGACAGGGCAGTATTTAAATTTTCTCTATTGGTTTATTGACCTTGTACATTCAGTTGAAATAATGTAAATTAAGAGCATATGTGATGTGACGCACTGTATGAAACATGGTGACTCTCACCATGGCAACAAACATGGCAGGTGTTATCAAGAATTGAGAACTTGCCCTATTTGCAAGCTAACAACTTAGCCTAATGCAGTTTCATGGTTACAGTCAGAAGACATGGGATTTCCTGGGTCAGAGACAAAAGACTTTGTTTTTACAGTACTGCATATAGCATAAGCAGCAGCATATTTGCATTATTTCCTGGATATCTGAACAGGGGAGAAGAACCCTGAGCTTAGGGAAACCAAATCTTTTATATTGAAGAGTAAGCATTTCTGTCCTTTCCTCTGGAGGGAAATTATTGT